GTACATTACGGTGGTTATCATAATCAAAACACAAAAGAATTTGACAATTTTACGCTTGTTTAGGTTTTTACAGGTGCACTGTATTAAATAATAATTATTATTTACACAATGTAACTTTTAAATATGTTAGGAAACAAGAACAAGAATGGTGGGGAAAACGTAATTAACACGATAATACCAATTACCTCAATCAACGAAATTCGAAAAACGTGTTATCCACCGTGGGAATAAATGTCTGTAATAATTTAAGCGTCAAATTAAAGCTCACCTTCTAAAATGTCATATTATTTTTAAATTAATACGATCTGAAAAAAAAAATTGTCACGGCTAGTTGTTTAAATCGAGTGTCAGCTGAAATTGCTCGTCGTTGTGCATAGTCGTTTTATTTTCAGCTAGCACACGTTGACATTTCCTAGGCTGGAGTGTGCACGTATACAGCACATTCTGCGGCCAATTTTGGAACGTAAGCGTAATTCGACTGGTAATTGAACTGCAAACGTTATTTTTGAAAAATGAGAACTCATAAGAGACCGCAAGTAGAAAGCTTGGAAGCCAAACGAAATTAACCATATGTGGGGTGAGGAAGGATGTTTACCAAGGGGAAGGGTTTCATACAAACATTGAAAATGTTAAACCATCGTTTTGAAACTAGTACTTTCATTTTTCAAAACAATTATGTTTTCGTAGTAGAATAAAACAAGGCCAGGCATCAGAGATGTTCCAGCTGTAGGATCCGATCCCTGCCTCCTCTTGAATGTATACTGATGGATAACTTAACGCACCACTCAATTTATTTATTGTAGTTTAAAATTAAATACATTATCTTTCTAATTCAGAAGAATATGTGGTATCGTAGGCAAAATGAACTGTAAATAATGCTTTGTTTACTTTGTACTGATTAATCCATTTGCATAAGAAATAGCATTATGCCCATACATTCTGCTTCCCCTAAAGTCCGATTTGAGTTAATATTTTTCCTTCGTTGATTTCATTTGATTTTATTCTTACTCTTAAACGTTTTTCAATGACACCAATCAGGTATATGAGTGAGTATGTCACATGAGAGCATTAAGGTCTTAACATTATTAGAGGAAGGATACAGCCAGCGCGAAGTCGCCAGGAGACTTTGTATGAATCACTCTACAATAGGAAGGGTTGTTCATTAGCGCGAGAGAGAAACAAGACTTCACACTACAAGGCCAGGACAGGGTCAACCTAGGTCTACAGACGATAGGTTCATCCGTCATCGGGTTCTTCGAAACCTCAACATCACGGGAAATGAGATAAGAAATCTCATAAAACAAATTCGAAATGTTTTCGATTTACTACTAATTCTTATCACAGCTCAGAAAATAGAAATGATTAATGGTGGAGTGATTGTGTTGTTCAATCTTTTATAAAAGATAGTTCCTATACATAGTTAATTGTTTTTAACGATCCGGATTTCAAACTTATAACTCTTCAGCAGGTTGTAGAACTTCTTCAACCTGATGATGAGCTCTAAGCTCGAAATCCGTATTGTTGAAAACAACTCACTGTGAGTAGGAACTATCTTTTTAAAAAGATCAGCTCAGAAAATGGCTTCAATTCTCGTACGAATCAGACATTGGAAGATTGGGGACGACACTCCTTATGGATGAGGTGAAAGTATTCCTCAAATATTTACATGGAGATGCTCAGGAGAATGGTACGCCCTATGCAGTACGGTTCCTCAGGGTGGCATTCCACGGTCAGTCATGTTCTGGGGTGGCATTTCCTTGGACCCCCTCACCGAATTGGTTGTCCTAGCAAGATCTTTACCTTCCGAGGTACTTACAAAACATAATCAGAGAACATGTAGTGCCATTTGCCCCCCACGTAAGTAAGAGATTCTTGCTAATGCAGGATAATGCCAAGCCCCATAGAGCACGATCACAATCATACGTGGATTGTCCTCAAACCTTCATAAGGAGACGCTCAGGAGGAAAGTAAGCCCCATGAGGTATGGTTCCTCAGGTTGCATTCCACGGAGGTTGATTGATGTTCTATGTGGTATTTCCTTGTACCTCTTCGTACCACAACTCAGAAAATGGCAAGGTTTCAATTCGAATTGTGCATAGAAGATTGAGGGCGAGTTCTCTTTACAGATGAGGTTAGAGCATTTCCTTGGACGCTCGCACCTAATTGGTTGTCATGCGAGGAAGATCTCCAACTTCACAAAGGTACTTACAAGACATAACCGAAGAACATGTAGTGCCATTTGCCAACACATATTATGGATGGCTATATGAATGAGGTTGGAATTGGTTCTTGTGTGGTCAGCTGGAAGTCCAATCGAACACATTTGGGATCAACTTAAGCGAAGAGTACGACGGCGAAATCGAGGTCATAACACCCTAGAAGCTGTTCGGGACGAATGGGAAAGAATTCCTCAAGATTTTACCAGAATTCTTTTTGAAAGAATACAGAGTCGTTTAACGGACGTGATTCGTGCCAGAGGTGGAAATACTCGGTATTAAAGGGAATAAAACTTTTGTTTTATATTTTTATTTGTTGTTGAATTTTTTCTTTAATCAATATATTTTTTTCAGAATTAGGTATTAAACTTTTTTTTAAATGTCTTATTTACAACTAGACCTATTTTTGGTATGCAAAATATGAATAAACCTAAATACATTCAAATTGAAGGATATGCGTTTATATTGTTCATCAATGTATTAACGGAATTTTTTTTTTCACGAACCGCACATTACGTTTTGCAGCTAATAGTAAATTGTCTTTCCTTACTTAATAAATCTGATATTGAATTATTTTTGTAATCCCTGACATTTTTATCGTACGGTTTAAAAATCGTTCCAGAGCCGGGGCTAATATCCGCCAAAAGAGCCCAAAAGCGTCATTTTCAAGTTTCAATTAAACTTTCCTTCCAAGTTACATCGTCTTACGAGCCTTTCAGCACTCTTCATTATTTCACGGCAGGCGGCCGACAAACTGATGAATTCGGACAAACGTCTGCGCGCCGCGGGCAGACTTTTTCTCGCGGGCTGCGTGTCTGCAAGTCGGGGGGAAAAAAGTTGCGCCTTCCACCTTTGTAATTGTAATTAATGTCCGGAGAAATGCGAGTACGCTATTAAGGAAAAAGGCCTCCTGAGCTCCTCCGGGATTAAACTCCTACAGGTACCATTTAGCTAATCATCCATTTATAAGTTGGTAACATAGTTTCACATTTTAAAAAACAAAACAAGCGGACATTTTCTCCATTACCTCTGATCAGCTACACTAAAATTAAAATTTAAACTTAAAATTCTACTGTTAAGAAAATAAATCAGACAAAATATTTTTTATATTTACCTACATCTGCGTTCATCTCTGTAAAGTTGCACACGACTTTATTCAAAATGGATGTACGCTTTTTTCACTTCACAAATATTTTAATAACAATAATTTTTTTGCAATAGTTATATTTTTTTTTTTTTGCTTTTTTTTTAACTATGCGTTCAGCAACCAGATCAGAAAAAAGGAGAAAAGGCTGTTCACAAGTATTATCAATAGATAATATTGAGATTTTTCAAATTTATTGATTTTTTAAAAGGTTTTCTTTATAATATTTATATTTTAATTCAACATAAGGACGTTTTCTATCATTTTTAACAATGTTAGATTTTTAGGATTTGTTATTCTACGAAATCGGGCAAAGATGTTCAAAGGTTGCTCTTATCGACAACGCGCTCATAAAAGGCTGAAAACGATTGGTTGCATAATTTTTCATTCTATCTTTCCTTTCTTAGAACTAAAATTAAAATTGAACTATTATGTTTAAATTAAACAAAATAGTGCATAATAAAATTTGAAAACGTTCCAGGCGGAAGGTTTTTGATGAAAGTTAGCACTAATAATTGTGTAATATGACATAAATTATTAATAATTTATATCTGCTATTACCACTATAATTATTCTTCTTAAATCTGCCAAAAAGAATTCATTTTTGCGAAACAAGGACATCACTGATATCTTGGTTATCTATCGGATAGACTTTTGTCCAAAAATATTTACTTAATATAATACAACTGTTTAACTAAGAGATTATTATGCCAGAGATTAAGCGGAACTAGATTTATTCTGCTCACTTTACTTGTGATAAAGTAAAGTTACTTTGTTAGGAACGGTACTTGATTCCAGGCGACCGGACTTCCGACTTTGTTGACATAAACGGGCTAATTGACTATGCCGGATTTTGAGAAATGTTTGTAGAAATTAAAAAATTTAAAAATTGTCGGTTCGCACTGTCTCAACAAACGGATTTTAACACAGCACATAAACATTTTGGGTAAATAAATTGAAATTTACGTTCAATAAACTCGTTTATAATTTGTACTATATTGAAAATGTTCAGGCTTTTTGTTTTATTATTAAGGAAAAATTTATGTAGTATGTAATATATTTAATTGTTTATAAAAATAGGTATTGATACCGTCGAGCACAACACAACAGTTAATAACAATTGTTTAATTATTTCATCATATTCGAAGAATCATAAATTGTGTTCCGTTCAGATTTGCATTCTACATTATTTTTGTACCGCCCGAATTGGAATTTAAAATGGAATTGGAAATCAAACGTGGCCGTCGACAGACTCATATCAGTATGATTCTAACGTAGAGACATAATAGCTTTTTTACGCATAAAATGTAACTGAAAATTTGGCTTTTCCATTTAAACCCTTGGCATGCATGAACAATAAACATAAATGACCACGGAATATTTTCAATCTGTTTGGAGAGAAAAATACTAATTAATAAAGAAGTGTTAGCAGTGATTTTTGGAAGCAGGTTTGCGGTCCGTAATAAATTTTTCCTTATATCAAGGAATGTTATTTCACTACGCACTCACCATGCCAAAGTATAAACTTTACAATGTCATCATCATATGTTTAGGGGACCAAATTCCATGGCTCGGAGAATCCTCTCGGGACTTAATGTAAATATGCCGTTTGCCGGGGTGTAAATTGGGTAAAAGCTCACCGTTTATTCCACAAGTGTGTAAGTTAGAATTGGCCGTCCTGTGGACGTCGGGGTCGCTTTCAGCAGGTGTCGCCAGACGATTTTCCGATGCGATTTTCCTTTCGTCGTCACTTTCCCGGTGTTGATGATGAAAACGATCCCATCCGATGTTGGCGGAAGCCGGAGGCAGACTGGTCTGAGCATCCGAGGCGGAAAGCGCCCCAGCCCCCTCCAGGACGGCTTCTATCAACCGAGCCCCCTCTGCTCGTGATCAACCAGCCTCCTCGTTTTCTGCTTCCTGAGCATTTGTTTTATCCCGTCGGGCTACAATTATTTTTATTAACTAATCATCACCAATAATTAAAACAAAAATTAATTTCAGTTTTCTTTGCGGAAAGAGCTCGACTCGACCCAATAGATGATAATTGTGCTACCGTCGAATTAGATATTTTAAAAATATCAATAAAGTTTCCAAATGAACGCTATCTTTAATTAGGAATATTGGTAAGCTTAATATTCAATTTGATAACAAAGTCAAACGAACTGAGAAATTCTTTCGTGTAATTCCATTGCTAAAATTTATCAAATAAAATATATTATTCAGTCTTTATTAACTATATTATTTTTCTAAACATGAAAATTTGAGGCGCCGGTGGCCGCAACGGTTTACGCGTTTATCACTGTAAGATAAAAATCCCGGGTTCGAATGCAAGGCCGCTGAATTCGAACCCTACATACTCACAAATGGGCTTTTTTTTTCAAAAACACCCGAGATACGATCTCTACTATTGCAAACCTTGGCAAAAAAACACATCATTTAGAAACAAAAGTGATCGTTTGTACACGATTTTGATTCTTTATGTTTACAAATATCCTGAAAAAAGATTTATAAAAAAGAGAATTTGATAAAGATACATTTATATGTATATATAAGTATCTATTTATTCTATAGATTACAAACTAAATAAGATGTAGATGTAATTTCAGGGTATAGTATACTGCGCCCTTTAAGAGATGTTGTATCCCCCGTGCTCTGCCTAAAGCACATCGGTGAGTCCTATTTCATCAAGAAACTTGATTAGTAGGCCCGGTTTCAGTGGTTGAAGCTCTTCTATGGTCACATTGTACATCCCAAAACGTTTCCTTCTGCGGGCTAATGTAGCTCCGCAGTTTGTTAGTAAATGTGTTGGTGTCTCTTCTGCCTCCTTGCAGAATCTGCATGTGCCATCTTGGATTGTTTCAATTTTCTTTAAGTGTCCATTTAATTTGCAGTTTCCTGTTAGGAATCCTATTAGGATTCGCAGTCTGTTCCTGCTTCTTTCGACACATTCTGTAATTTATTTCCTACCAAAGTTGGTTAGAAGATTCTTGGATTTTCTATGTCCAATGTGAATTCCAAAGTGCCCTCATTTTCTTTGTGTCCTTCTGTTTGAGATATTCGTTAATAGTGTGGATTCCTATGCCACAAAAGGGTTCAGGTCCTGTCAGCGGTGTAGCAGCTCTTTCCTTGCAAGGGTGTCCGCTTTCTCGTTACCTTCTACTCCCATGTGTCCTGGGACCCAGCAGACTTTATTCTGCATACCTAATATAATTAGTTTGGTTTTGCAATACAGCACCATCCTTGAACTGATGATATTTGAACTTAGTGCTTTGATGGCTGCTTGACTATCTGACATGATAGCTATATTCTTGTTTTTGTACCCTTTACTTAGGTTGAGTTGGGTACATCTTTCGATTGCATGAATCTCAGGTTGGAAGATACTGGTGTGTTTTCCCATGGGTTCTGAGTATTTGGTTCCAGGACTGAATACTCCTGCCCCTGTACCTTCTTGTGTTCTAGATCCATCTGTGTACCAAAGGATAGTGCCATTCTTGAAGGAGGTGTTTCCTCTCGTCCCCTTTCTTTTTTGGTACTTAGATTTATTCGGAAGTTTTGGTTAAATTCAAACATCCTGTTTATGTCGTCTCTTGGAGTCATGAGTATCGGATGTTCTTTCCATAGTTTACAATTTTCACATAAATAAAACTTATAAATAAACTTTAATATTAAATAAATTAAACAGTGTTATATAAAAAAATATGGATCTTTTATCAAATAATATTGATGTTTTAACATAAATGCATTAATACGCCTACGTGGTGTTATTTATGTTTTTCATATACATAAGTATATGAAAGATGAAGTCGATATTATCAGCATTAACTCGTTGTTAAGAGGAATTAGGAGAATTTGCTATTAACGAAACGTGATTCCATTATTTTCTATTATTATTTTGACGTAGGTTTTAGAAAAACATTTTCTTTATCGTGCCAACGTTTTGACCTTTATTCGGGTCATCTTCAGGGCCTGGGTGAATTATGAAGGTTATGTTGATTGAAAAAAATACAATTTAAGATGTAAATATCTATTTGGAACCAAGTATTTTATTCTTGCACAAAGTGTGGTGCTACTATTGTGGTGTTATATCGGTTTTGTGTGAAAGTGTTGTGAAACGTGAATTTGTATTCTGCTGTTTTTATATGATCGATGACGCGGTAAATCTGGGAAAATTTCTTCGATCATAGGCTTTGTTTTATCTCAAAGGAAATTTCGATCCGCTAGGACACCACCTTCCCATCTCAACCTCACCTCTCGAATTTTCCCTCCTTTTTGCCATTTTTCAAATACCGTGTAATCTATTTGATTCTCGGCGACAAATGAGATCCTGCTCGTGACGCTGACTTTTTTTACCTCGACCAATAACTTTCATAAATAGATATTAGTTAATTGAAAAATGTTAATTGGTCAATCGGACAACGAACTGTGATGGATTTAATAATTAAACTGAAGTATATCTTCACGAAAGCTCTCCGTGGCCACTTCATTTGTCGCCGAGAATCAAATAGATCACTCGACATTTGAAAAATAACAAAAAGGAGGGAAAATTCAAAAGGTGGGGTTGAGATGGGAAATTAGTGTCCGAGTGGATAGATGTCACGATAGCTCAAGTGGTAGATAGCGGCGTATCAAGCCGAAGGTCGTGGGTTCGAATCCTGCTCGTGACGCTGACTTTTTTTATCTCGACCAATAACTTTCATAAATATTAATTAATTGAATAAAATTAAGGTTTAATAGTTTATTTGCTTTATGACGTTGGCATAGCTACGACTGAGTTTCCATGTATCTGTTCTGTAATTAATCCTGTGTATTTCTCTGTTAATGAAAACCTTTTCTAGAAAGTTCCGTTTGTATTTGTTTTTTCCGTGTTTAGTATTTGTTTTTTGTCGAAATCAAATTTTCTGTTGTTTTGGAGAGGGGTGTGTGGCCAATCCTGTGTGATTGGTTTTTGGTGCTTTGCAGCCATACAAGTGTTGTTTTTTCCCTTTTTCTAGATATTGCGATGTATGCAGATGGACAGTTCTCCCTCTCCGTTTCGACTAAAGATAGTATTTTTGGTTTTATTAAGCCGTTAAAAAGAACCCCTTTTCAAACAAATTAAATTATATTATTTATATCATTATCTTAATATGTATATCTTAATAATATATTACTCATATCATCTTTTGGAGCATGCTATTTTGAAAACTTCAGTTTCTCATTTTGCCAGACAAAAATATACAATGAATATAATAAAAAAGTGGCCATGGATAAATAAATCTTATCTTGTAACGACAAAATGACGGAGGCTTCATAAATTACAAATAACATAGGTAAATCAACAGGCCAGTATTATAGGTCGATCTTCAAGTATATTAAAGTACCCCATTAACTTTGACCAATTTTCTCCAAAAAAGTGAGCACTGTTTTTACATCCAAAATGTCAAGGCCGATTTCTTTCTTTCTCGCAGTGGTAAGTTTTTGACATATAACTAATAAAACGATAAGAGGTACGTATCCTCTTTTTCATTAGACCTCTCTATCTAGGTCTCTATCTAGGTCTTGTAACTTTCTCATTTTGTCAGACAAAAATATACAATGAATATAATAAAAAAGTGGCCATGGATAAATAAATCTTATCTTGTAACGACAAAATGATGGAGGCTTCATAAATTACAAATAACATAGGTAAATCAACAGGCCAGTATTAAAGGTCGATCTTCAAGTATATTAAAGTACCCCATTAACTTTGACCAATTTTCTCTCTCTCTCTCTCTCTCTCTCTCTCTCTCTCTCTCTCTCTCTCTCTCTCTCTCTCGCTCTCAAATCTAGTTTTAAGAAAAAAACGAAAAAGAAACTTACGACATCTTACAAATCTACATCTAATTTTTTTTTACTCAACAATAATATGCTCTGTACAAAAATATAACTTATAAGTATTAAGTAGTTAATTAAGTTTAACTTAATCTCACTTTATTAATTTAGTTCAATGTTGATTTTATAATAATTTGTTATTTCTATTTTATGTCTGTTGTGACTATAAACAAATATTATAATTGTAATTTCACGCTGAGGGTAAGAAAGGTCCTAGAGACCTAACTTTTTCTCGTATTTTAATAAATAAATCGTTTCTATCAATTAATCTCTCTCACCTCTCTCTCCTTTCTCTCTTTTCTCTCCTTTCTCTTTCTTCTCTCTCTCTCCTTTCTCTCTATCTCTCTCTCTCTCTCTCTCTCTCTCTCTCTCTCTCTCTCTCTCTCTTTCTCTTTCTCACTTTCACATAATAGGTGACTGGTTGAATTTTCCTATTTAATAATTTTTAATCTAGTTTTCAATTTATAACTCTTTTTTTAATTATTGTAACTTTGCAATTTTAAATTAAAACGTATACTTTTATTGTTTTAAAGGATTTTTTTACAATAGGACCTGGCGCAATCATAATTTAAATTGGTCAGAAAATAACAATTTTTATGGCACAGAAATAGTTAAACAGGTTGAGGGAATTTGAATTCAGTCGTTTGTCTAGGTCGAAGTTCCAGGTGACATATTTGACAGAGAGATTTGTTATTCCGTTCAAATAAAAGGGCCTTTGGGGCATCGTTGTATTTATTTTTATTTTCCACTGAATGATCCCATTCATCGATGTGGTGAAAATGGTATTGCATGTTTCTATATGAGTTGACGGTATCTTTATTTGGAGGGGAGGTTGTGATAGAATTCTGCATAGTCAAAAGTGGACAGAAATGGTTAATTGTCAGACGCCAATATGGATAAGAAATATAAAAGAAATGAAGAAATCGTTGTGCCCTGTCTATCTCGTACTAACAGACAGACAAATACAATAT